TTCTCACATAGCAAAATCAGAGGCTTCTGAGCACAAAAGGCAAGCCCAAAATCTTCAACAAAGTCTGACCATTCTTTCTCTGTGAAGTCTGCAGTGTCATATTGAAATGGTTCGACACCGTGAATGAGCCATGGCAAGAAAACTGTGAAAAAAGGCAAAGAAAGTTAAAAAATATTTCATTTTTGCAGCATCAGTGTACCACACAGGGCAGTACAAGCCAATCCGAGCAGGCAAACATTTGTCAGCAGGCAAATCTGCTCCCCTTCCAACCCCAACCCAACAGCAACACAATGGCAAGGAGAGCTTTTAGGGAGACACCTGGTACCCCAACAGCATCCCTGGAGTCACCAAGAGTCACCATGAATAGCTCCACAAAGAGCCCTCCTAACTGGTTAGGGAACGTTCCAAATTTTAATTTGGGATTCACATTCATTTTAATTGCTCAAGAGGAAGCTGCAGGAGATGCTGGATTTTTGCTGTTCCCACTGATGTATCACACAATGTGACAAAAAGGTAGCAGGTATCTCGCTTGTACACTGATGGAGCTGGCTTGTCTTCTGCTTGATCAAAGTATTTCCTATTTGTACTATAACAAACAATTTGACACACTGGATAGTTTTTTTTTGTTAGCCTGAAGTTATTTTCCCAGGGTACTGAAAACCAGCTGCTCCTCTAATTAGTACACTGAGTGCTTATTTTATTCCGTGGATGAAAGTGTCTGATGTTGTAACGAAACAGTTTGACACTTAAGTCACACATTCGTCTATTTTATTGCTAAAGTCTGCTTAAAGAGTAGGCATCTCAAATAAGGCAACACATTTAATGTGCCATTTCTCTGCATTTTTATTAGCATTACTGCCAATAGGACGAATCTGGAAAAAAAAAATTATTTTGCCAGCAAATAAATATTTAAAATATTCTGCTTTCCACCAACTGACAGAATATTTCAGGTCATTCTCCAGATTGCAGACAGAAATGTATGCACCTCTCAGAGTCTGCAGTGTTTATATCCACGCAATACCTCATTATGTCTAAGGATGAAGGGTATAAACTAAGGTAAAACCCGGCCTCTCTTTCCAGGCATAAAATAAAACACAATGTCCACACAAGGCACAACCACTGGAGATGCCCACCTATCCTGAGCAGCCTTCTGCTGGCAAACATTCACACACCACCTCTAAAATAAGACGTAAGGAAAGCCCTGGTCTGATGTGAATCACGCTTGCAGCAATGGAAACACTGTTCTTCCCTTCCTTCCCCAAGAGAGGAGAATTGCTTCAAATAACCCTTTGCCTTCCGTTCGATTTTGGTACTTTTATCTCTTCCATCACAGCAATGCTACAGCACCTTCCAGCAGCTCATGAAAGGGGATTTCTGATGATTTATAAACTTTCTCTAGAGACCTTCAAATATTCCAAGTGTGTTCTCATTTTTCACTCTAATCCAGTTTTTGTTCCAGCTGAACTATTTCTTCAGTGGCAGCTGTGGTTCCCCCCCATCTGGCTGGAGCACCCCTTACAGAACATCAAGGGAGGAGGAAGACAAGGCAAAGAAGGCACTTTTTGGAAACACATTGGATACCACAACAGCAGAGTATCCAATGCATATCCAAAAGGTAACCTTGCTTCATGGCATTAAAGCCCAACAGATGAGTAACCCAAGCATAACCCAAGTGCTCCACTGGCTTTATGGCACAGGACAGAGGTATCCTCGTGGTTCCCATGGGCAGGAATCCCCTCTGCTCCTCCTGGAGGACGTTCAGAAGCTGCTGAGCATCTCTGGCATCACCCACTGACAATCCCCGTGGGCAAACCCACTTGTTACTCTCATTTCCACCTATCACTGCCAGGGCTGGGACACAGCTCAACACAACCAAAACATCACCACATCCGTGTTTCATGGAACCTGAAATACTTAAAAAGAAATTATCCTTTGGGAGTTTGTTGGGACTCTGAAAATGTTGCTGGGAAGCAGAGGATGCTGCCGGCTGTCCCCTGTGCAATCAAAGCTGAGAAGGAAAAGAAGCAGGAGAACAAAGAAAAGAAAGGTTTCTTTTCCACCTGGAGAAAGCAGTGAGATAGCAGAGACGTAACCAACCATAATAAAGAGAACACAATTCTAAAAAAAAAGTCTTCAAGTGATACCAAAGCGAATAATTCATTACACAAAGACAACGGACAGGTGATCAGGTACCCAACACATCCCATTTTCTAACCAACTCAATGTGTTACGAAATGCAGCTCCATTTCTGCTCTGGAGCTTCACCAACAGCCCCAGACAGCATTGTCCATGGGCAGCTCTGGAGCTGAGCCCTGTGTTTAATTACTGAGCTGGGTGAGATCCCTTCTGGCAGGAGGTGACATACAGGTGTGAAACGCTCCTTTTCTACTTGCTATGCACACCCATAACAGCACTCCAATGCACTGCAAGGTGCTTTGTCCACCCAGCTCCCATCCTTTTGCTGCCCCACATCCTGACCCAGACAGGCTGAGCTTCCTCCTCCCTGCAGAGCACGAGGTGTGCAAAGGAACCCAGACTAAGAACAGCTCTAACTGCTCAACATTAGAATACCATCAGTTAAAAAATCCCCGGCAGACACCCTGCCATCCTGCAAGACAAAAGTGATCCCAAGGTAATACCTGATGAAAACCACATGCTTGCAGCTAGGTCTGGTCAGACTGGTTCTCATGAAATACAAAGCGCTGCCAATTGTATTACCTCATTATTAGCAGACACTGGCAGCAGCCCTGCGTGGAGATCGGCCGTCTGGCTGCGCAACCTGCCGGCACCTCGTAACTTATGTGGGGTGTGCAGGAGGACGGCTGCCTCTCTCCTGGTTCTACAGCCCATGGGACTCTGTGAAGGGAGGAAAAGCTCTGCAGCCTTCAAGTGGAGTGTATGGGGTCAGGCTGTCCTTGGGGGAGTGGGGTATGTGCGACACCCCAGGGCTCGCTGTGTTCAAGCCCTGCTACTGAATGATGCTCACATGTAATGTGCAAGGAAGGAGGGAGCTGTTGCTGGTTCTCACTGTGAAATCACAGCAAAAAGTCCAGACGAGTCAAGATAAAAATCCAAGACAACCCACCAGAGAGAAAGCAGTCATAAGCCACGTAATATTAATTCAAGCTGAACAGTATTAATTCAACTTGCAGGCAAGGTAAATCTTTCACATAACATTCCCCTATTCGCTCAGTGCCTAAGGAATTTCCCATTCCCCAATGCTGTCTCAATGTCTGGTCCTCTCAGACTCCCCATGTCACAGATTTGTGCCCTGGTCCCTAAGCTCCTAAGCACTGCAGCAGCAGGTAAATGCGATGCAGACCCAGAGCAGTACTCATCATCCCCACGCTGCATCCTTGGAGGAGAGAGATAGGATCACCCCCACCTTGGCAGAAAGCACGCTGAGCTTTCTGAAAGCCCTCGGACAGGAATTCAACACCTTCCATCTGCAGCCCATTACTCTGCACTGTAACTCCACCTCTCGGTTACAGGTCCCAGAGTGCAGCAGGAAAGGAGCCAAAGTCTCAAGTCAGTGAGATCGAGAGTTAGGGAATAACTGGAGATGAATCAGGATGGAGAGCCAAGTGCACAGCACTCTTTTTCCAGAAATCACAGAGTTGCAGTAAAAGACCCCAAGAACTGGCGCCGCACTGAGTCTGGCCTTTGTGAAGTCTAAAGAGAAGTCACCTGGTCTGCTAGGAAAGGCCACAGCATAACAAGGTGCAAACAACAACATCTGGGGAAAACGCTTTAAAAAGTGATGGATTTTTTTTTTGTTGTTGTTCCTTTTCTTTCAGGAAAGAGATTGCCTCAAATTGCCAACCATCTCCATCCACTGGGGTATGTGCCATCTCCCTGCAGGAGAGCCTCTAAACACCCTCATGGAGGTTATCACCACTCCCTGCCTGATGAATGCAGTGGTACCCTGCATCCCCAAGGAAAATCTGCTCTCTTATGTCCCCAGGGATGTCCAGCTGTCACCACCTCCCAGGGGCTCTGTTCTCATGGTCCCCTGAGGATGTTGGTGTCACATCAACACGCCCAGCACTCCCCTTTAGACCAAGTCTGCATCTGATTCATCTCCCTTTGTTCCATGCTTTTGCCCTGCCGTATCACAGCTCCCTGCACCAGGACAGCATCCCTCCTGCTCTGACCAAGGACATTTTAAAGGCAGCCTGCTTGTTGTGCTCTGCTCTGATTGTAGCTTTGCGGCAGTTAACAAGTCCCCCCTGGCTCTGGCATCCTGATGCTGCATTTCTTTGTTCCTGTTAATGGTGGGTTCTGTTTCTTTTATTACCTCTTGGTAATCGTTTGAGGAGCTCTCACAGCAGGACGTTACTCAAAATCATTCCACCCTTCTAAACTTCTCCATCAAAACCCAGCAACATTTCATTACGGCACAGCACTGCTCCTATCCACAGCATCTTTCACTCGCAAGAAGCACTGAGCACCCCAGGACCACGCTGCTTGCCAGGTGCCCAAGTTACATCCCAGTAAGCATCATTGTGCCAGAAACAAGCAGAGAAAGGACTGCAATAGCCTCGACAGAAATACCAGTTGCCACTTTGCACAGAAAGGTTGCCATAGCTGGTTTGTCTTCATCTAGCTGTACCAGTTGGTCAACAAGAGGATGCACCATCTCCCTTGCATGGGTTGCACCAGGGGAGGTTCAGGTTGGATATTAGGAACTATTTCTCTTCAGAAAGAATGGTGATGCAGTGGCACAGCTGTCCAGGGAGGTGATGGGGTCACCAACCCTGGAGGTGTTCCAGAGCTGTGGAGATGTGGCACTGAGGGATGTGGCAGTGGGCATGGTGAAGTGGGCTGGTGTTGGACTACATGATATTGGAAGTCTTTCCCAACCTTATTGATTCTATGATTCTCACAGCGTCCCTCCAAGACCTTCCTTGATGACCATGAACACCCTGAGCCCCAAACAAAAGCTGCAGTGCTCAGGGAGAGCTCCTCACACTGTAGGAGACCCAGCAGTGAGGACTCACCATCCATGTCCAGGCGTTGCATGATGATCGCCAGCTCCACCTCGCTGGGCATGTACCCCAACGAGCGCATGGCCATGCCCAGCTCCTGCTTGGAGATAAAGCCATTCCCATCCCTGTCCAGCACCCGGAAAGCTTCACGGATTTCTGCAAGGGAGAGAAAGGAGAAAAGAGTTATTATGGTGGCGGACATCTTCGTCAATGTATCTGTGCATACGGGATGAAGGAGCAGCATATATTGCCTTTCCTAATGTGAATGTGGCATATCTGATAATTTCAAGTCAATGTAATGACATGAAATGTAATGATATGCTCATCGAAGCATATACTCACACCTCTGTATGCAGACAGATATGTACAACTGCATCAACACTCGTATTATTTTCTCTGCTAAGCATCACTGCAAAATTCAGCATTCATTACAGATGGATCTCCCTCCCTTTTGCAGCATCTGCCTGGAAATCCATTCTGCTCCATTGGAAAGCACTGTCCTGCCCTGGGGCTCCTCCAGCAGCCCTGCCCCACGCCTGTCAGCATGTCTGCAAGACAGACAGCATTATTCCAGGTCTTACCAGGCTCTCACTTTTTTCCAGCAGAACAGCAGCAGTTGGGTGCATCCCCTGCGGGTAGCAGTGCTCTGCAGCCAGTTCTCCAAGCACCACAAATGCGGGTGTACGTCTTTTAAACCAAACCTAGGCAATTTCCATCTCTCCCTCTCCCCAGCTCCTCTTTAATTTACAACTGTTTTACAGCAATAAAGAGCCTCGGATCAATAAAAATGCTGACGGCGTCAAGGGAGTCACTTCCATCATTCTCCTGCAGCCTGGCTCGGCTTCTGACATCTGACTTTGGTTTGCTTTTCAATTCTGGCATATCCCCCCTTGGCATTAACACCCCCTGGTGCAGCCCAGCTCCCAGCCCTGCTCCTCACAGCTTCTCTGCTTGAAGCCCACCACCAAGGTCCCTAGGTGAAGTGGCTCTGATTGGTGAATGCCAAATAAAGCCTTGTCAAAACACTGGCCAGATGGGAGCAGGTTTGCTTGGGAGGATTTGGTTGGAGGTGGAGAGAGAAAGAGGAACCGATTTGTTAGTTAAATGCATCATGTTGTGAGGAGGAAAACACAAGATGCCTTACTATTACATCCTTGGGAAGATCATCAACAATTATTTGGTTTGGTAACCACATGTCAGTCACCCCCTGGTGACCTTTACTGCACTGTATTCACATTGCTCACTCAGGACACTGTTAGTACACCTACTTTGGGCACTGCCTGCCTCCATGCAGAGCAGTCACTCCTTCCAGCACAAATCCCTGCACAGCCCCAGGAAAATGCAGGTCAGGTCTCCTGAATTATGGGACAAATTACCACCTGGAGGCATCCACAGTGCTCTGCACCCCATCCCATGCTGACAAGGCAGAGGCTGTGGGAATTCCACTGTGGGCGTTACTGGGAGATGTCAGAAGGCAGCAGAGAATGAGGATGCATGTGTGGAAAGTCACCACGTGCAGCTATGCTCACAGAAGTTTAGCATTCATGTGAACACATTTCATTGGAGAAGTGGGAGGGAAGGCTCTGCAGGTTTCGCAGGAGAACAGATCTAATTAAACACTGATCTATTCTCTATCAGGAATAGATTGAATGGAAAAGATCTGATCAGCTCTGTGCGCGTCATTAAACCTCAGGGACAGGAAAATGCTTTTGGCCCTGCCATGGACTGCACCACCTCTCCCTCTGTCCTCTGCTCCCTGGGAGAAGATAACCAAAGATGATAGAATCATGAAGGTTGGAAAAGACCTCTAAGATCACCCAGTCCTACCCCAACCCACCCCAGCATGGCCATAACCACGTCCCTCAGTGCCACATCCCCACAGCTCTGGAACACCAGATGGTGACCATCACCTCCTTGGGCAGGTGTGCCACTGCAGCATCGTTCCTTCTGAGAAGAAATTTTCCTTAAGGGAGGGATGCTCTTTATTCCCCCTGGGAAAAAGCTGGGAGCATCTCAGTGCACCAAGAAATGTTTTGGTGACGTCTCTGCTAATGATTTATCTAAAACTTTACAACTCAAAGGCTGCTCTTAAACCACCTCCCATCAAAATTCACCACCTCCCTTGATGAGGTGCCTGGAACCTCCCTGACCTCCTGCTTCATCTCCACCGTGGCTGTGGTTATCAGGATGGGATGTGACCAGATTTTAACCCAGCCAAAAAGCTCACCAATGCACAAAGGGCAGATCCTACTGATTTCAACAAATCCTGTGCCAGATCTGTAACACCTACACTATGGGTGTAGCTATATATCAGCTGTGGCTTCCTCAGACTGATCCAGTTTCCTGGATCCACCTTATCTCAGTGCTATGAAGAGGTGGTGGGGCTGCTCAGAGTCAACGCAGCTTGAAGTGCTGGGATGGAACGCAGAGAAGCCTTTGGAGTAGGAACAAATCCCATCAGACACTGCCAGCTGTAGTGAAATCTATTTTCATATGATCTGCTGAAAGCTAAAGTGCAGTAAATATTGCTTCAAAATCAATTATTTTTAAAATAAACTTTTGACAGCTGAAGACATAAACTAAAAATACTGCAGGGAGCCGAGGAAGTTTCAGAACATAAAATATGAGTCTACCTTCCGAAAAGTTTAGACTGATCCAAATTATACAAATAAATTACATCAGTACTGAGGCTTCACAGTGGGGCATCTGAGTGCCAGTCCAGCAAGCGTTCTCTCCAGATACACTGATTTCAGAAGATGCACAAAAGCACAACAACATCTGAACCTTGACTGGAGGACTAAAGGTCCCCCACTTGAGTTCCAGCCCCACTCCACGCCTTTCAGATAAATGAACCTCTGATCAAACCTGAAACATCCTTCATGCACTGACACCCAACCCCAAACTGAGCTTTTTCCACTCCCAGCCTATAAATATTGCTTGTGCAGAGGTATATTTGCAGAGCTATTTATAGGCTGAACACACTGTACACGTAGCAGCTACGACCTCAGCCAGTGCTTCCTCTTTATCTTTGTATGTACCACCACCTCTTTATCAGCTCTTCTTTACGGTGATTCCTCCCCCTACGACATACTGAGCATCCTCCCCAGGCACAGCCCTGCCACCACCACCCCAATGTCATCCCAAACAGTGCTCCATGAACCCACAGCACCCTGGCTGGCCCTCACCTTCATTTCCAGCTGTTAAATTTCATTACCCAAAGCTAAAAATACATCAGCACTTTCCCCATACGACTTTTCCAAATAAGTCGCCATGGCAACTGATGCTCCTGGCTCAGAACTGGGCACGGATGCATTCATGGGGTGAATCTCTCAACTGCTGCCTGGGCTTGGGAGAAAGTTTGAGTTGCTCTGCATGGGGATGTTTTACCCTGATTGAGAACAACAAAGCCCTCTTTTGCCTTTTAGAGGAAAAGCAAGGCAGTACGTGCCACAGCGATGCTGCCTCAGCAGCCCTGCATTGGCCCCAGCACACATACCTAGATTACACCTCCACTGAGGCATCAATAAGCACTGAATCTCCATTCCACCATAGAAAATAGACAGTTGGCACAGAACTATCTTAATGGACAAAGAAAAAAAAAAAAGAAAGGAAAATAAAGAAAGAATTGGAAAACAGAAAATAACCCATTTTGCATCCTGACCTCAGGAAACATCACCTCTTCCCAAGGAGCCCAACCTAGCTCCTGAGTGTTCTTCTCCATATCGCAATCTCTCCAGCCCTGGGAGAACCTCTGCACGAGGTGACTTCAATACAACAGTGCTCACACAACTGCTAGCAGCCATTTGTAGCACAACATCACCTCCCTACCAGAGTTATAACAAACACCACCAGTATAGGATGCTGCTAACAAGAAAGAGACCATCTGATGGTCTGCATGTGATGCAAAACGAGGTGTTCAGCTGAGCAAGGGCACCAACCTTATCCCACACTAATCACAGACCCATAGAATGGCTTGGTTTGGGAAGGTCCTCAAAGATCATCTAGATCACCTAGCCACAGGCACTAGATGAGGCTGCCCAGGAGCCTGGCCTTAACTAGTCCAGGGATGGGGCATCCAACTAATTAATCCTAATTGACATCTTCATTAATGATCCCAAAGAGCGAGTAGACATCACTGATTAAACTCCCAGGGATAGAAGGCTGCAAAAAGTTGTCAGGACAAAAAGCCTGCCTATGCAAATGGGCCAGATCTGGGAGCAGAAGGTCCGTGGGGCAAAGGCAGGTGTGGGGTGCCATCACTGGTGGGATCTGTGACAGTCACCCACTGATGGAAAGAAGCAGATTCCTTTCCAGCTTTGTTGGGCATTAACCAGGAAACTCTCCCATCCCAATCCCAAGGGAACAAAGAAAGCTTGCTGCTGGGGTCAGACCTGACACACAGCCTAGCAACTCATTAACACTCTTTATCTGCATCCAGAAAGACTCAAAGATTCATCCTCACCCACCCACTGCCCTTCATAAGAGCTTTCCACAATCAATGGCTGCTTTAGGCACACGGGAGCTGACCCTGCACTCTGTTCCTAGCCTCCCCAGCTCACCCGTTCCTTAAGTTCAGCAGCAGGTTTATTAGTTGATGATTTCCCTGTGACTAGTAACTAGAGGCAACCATCATTACTTTTTGTTTTGCTTCCCGAGCGAGGATGAATCATGATGCTCCAAGAGATAAATTCAGCCAGGGCCACCAGTGTCCGCCAGCCACCCTTGGGCACTGCAGATGGTTCCAGTTGACTTCATTGGGTATAAATACCACCCTAATAAATGTTGTAATTGCACTGTAACTACCACATCCCAAGTACACAGCAATTACTATCAGAGCCCTGTATGGTTATTTTCATCAGGATGATAAGAAGAGGACTACCACCACCGTACATCTTGCCAGTCGTCTCATTCGCTTAATTGCGAGTTTGGGCACCAAAGTACAAACTGAATGATCTAAAAGCTGCAAATAGCATGTCCTTGAGTGAAGTGCTAAGTGAGACTTGCAACTACTATGCCTGCCTGAAAAAATGGAAAGTTCCATCCCTCCATCTGCTATTCTTACACTCCTGTTTCGCTGCAAACTGCAACAAAGTGTCATAATATCTACATTTTTAGCCTAATTGAAATATACCCCTTCTTCCCTCCCAAAATACTCC